AGTTTGATTTGCCGCTTCTCGTTTCCATTTGTTTTTCTTCTCAGCCCCACTCTATTACACCAATTTGTTACTCTCTGGTCATTAGTTAACTTCCCGTATAATCTCTTTCCGATGAAACTTTAGCGACACAAGTTCTTTCTTAAATAAAACTGGTTTATTCTTTCTAAATACAACTTTGCAATACACTTAATTTTCACAGTCACGCTATAACAAACACTATAATTCACAACGAACGACTCACTTGCTCGACTCAACAATACGTCTCTCTCTGTCCGCAGTTCAATTACATTGTTGCCGTCAGTTCTTACCGGTCTTATATATACAAGAATACCGCATATCTAGTAACCTCCCGAGACTTCAGGAAGGGACGTGAACGTTCTAGAAGTTCATGACGTGTTACTAGCGTCACGTGACTTCCGCTGTCGTAACAATATAGAAAAGCCAGTGCGTTTTTTAATACTACGTTCCAACAATGGCTTTTATGTCATGTTGCTTAGCAACAAAAGTATAACCTAATATTGTTGTTAGTATATGCACTGAAGTATAAAATTAAGTGTATAGATAACAAAACTGGTAAAATATTTGATTTCGTAATTTAGAATCTCCGTTGGTTAAATAGGTTTGTCTTTTTTATATTAAAAACGTTGTTGGTATAACAGAAAATAGCTTAATTCAGAAACGATTTATGTTTAAAATTGAATTGATATATTTTTACTTTCATGATAAACGTTATGCACTTGGCTCTAGGCTAGGTGATCCCACACTACATCTTTACTTTAAGCTTATTATACCAACAATCACTACACTTATAAGGTTTCACGTCCCCCTCCCCTTTCTCATAGCCACCTTGCACCACCGTCACTAAAATAGTAATGGACAGACAGTAATCGAACTATTCTATCTGGATAAATTCATTTTGGCTTTTATGACACATCCTATTTCAAGAAATCAAGCGTGATGTGACGTGAAACACATAGGCTTTTATATAGGTTAGATTAACTCCCTCGTGAGCTTCCTTCCCGATAATCAAAACTTAATTCTTTTCGATTTTATACTGTATACTAGGCTCATGGTTATGCTGCTCTGCTCTCAAGACCAGCCACTGTGATGCATCAGTGGATTCAATGTTTTTTGTTGTGAGCATCGTCTTACAAACATGCACGCATGATTGAACTGCCACTCTGACTTTAGGGTCTTTTTCTGAAATTGCTCAATTATGACTGGCTTTAAGTCGAAATGCCTATTAAAAATTAAAACATTCCTCCGACAAGGTTGATCATTAGTATTCATTAACTTGCTCAGGGATAATTTCACATTATAATTATAAAAATTGTAGATTTGAAAGTACTGGAAACATATATAGAAGTAGTAAAAAGAAATATGAAGTTCAATATAAGATCCACCACTTGCCACTGAATTATACAAGTTTCGGGGTCTTCCACCTTGTGCAAATCCTATATACATAAAGGTGAGTAAACAACAACTCCAAATCCCATACAGGTAATATAAAAGTAGCCCAATATGTCGCACGATTGGGTAAAAAAAGAATCGTCTACTTTAGATGTAACCCTTTATAACTAAGTACAAATACAACAGAAACCTAATGTAACAAAATAAATCAGCATACACTATATCATTGAGCAAATTAATCTATGCTCTAACACTTCCAGATGAAATAAATATTAATTCTTTGGCTTTTTCTCCTAGGGTTTGAAATTACTAAAACTAAAAACCAGGTTTAATCACATATTTAAAGAACTATGGTCCTAAAAAAGAGGGATTCCACAATAACTTTAAATTAGTTATTAAGTTCCCACCTTCAAGATCTTGTTACAAATAATCTGAGCATTGAGAAGCTAAAAGATCATCCCATACTTAAATTACTTCATTTTTGATTAAATCTATATTAAATTAGTTCTTTTGTTTCCCTAGGCACTCTGTTTTTCACTGTATTTAATTGCAATCCCTTTCAGCTTATAGCTCGTTTCTGCTCTTAAACCTGGTTCGAAATGTCCAGGGTACCCAGTTTTGGAAGCCTCATTTAATCCACCTCTGACCCAAAGCACGACTATTTCATGTCATCTTTATTTAAATGTTTTGAGTTCCTTCACCAAAATATATAAAACTCGTTGATATTTGTTATAGTTTCTCAAATCATTCTATCTATTTCTGCATTGTAGACACCTTCTCCTTTACTAAAATACTAGCATGCACCCAATTTGGCGAGACAGGACTTTTCTAATAAATACTTAAAATATATATTGAGAAAGCTTGAATAAGTAGAACGTGAATTCAATCCTAACCCAATAACTAAGAGATGGGTTTTAGAACAAGTTGCAGTTGCTACTAGTTCTAGTTCATATAGATCACTCATACAGTGAAGTTCCTGTACAGAGTACGTGTTCTATATGATATCTATTAAAATTCATATGATTGAAAGGAGGCTTCAAGTTTGGGTGATACATATTCTCATTTCAATGGCTCGTAGCCTGTTGCTCATGCAGTAGAGTGACATGGTACCGAAATTCATCTTGGCAGCTGAACACCTCATGTACCAACTCACTTACCTAGGTGATCGGTTGTATGCAGGTGTGTCCAGAAATAACTGCACATTCCAACTGAAAGACTGTATGTTTGTAGAAATTAATGGAATACCTTACAAGTTAACAAAGTCCTGCTCTTTAGCAGGCAGAGTTGTTTATTAAGGCTTTGTATAACAAATGTGCAACACAATGAACCAAACAAATGATTCACGAGCTCTACTCAAGGAGAATATCATTTGACATTTCCAAAACTATGTGCCTTTAGGGAATAATGGTTAGTACCATTACCAAACAGTCAGAATAGGGGTCCTTTTATCAACCACCCGCCAGTTCAACTAGAGCCCCCTAGTGTCTTAGCACACTGTTTCAAATCATCGACCATTCCTGCTAACCACGTCAACAATTCATTTGAAATAACATACATCAACGACAGAAAATAAATTCTGGTTAAAGAACTAAAGAGGTGACGTGATATGACTTATATTACATCCGGACATAAAGTAGCCAAGTTTCCAGTTTATGTGTAAGAAACAACAAAACAACTTAATTTTTCAGACCTATACATTTATTTATTACTTTCAAGACATATAAAGTTACAATATTGTACGGTCTTTGGCTAAGCCTAATCTAAAATTGAACCCAGCCTATAATATTCCTAATCCCATTTCCTGAGATTGTTTTTAGCCAATTAAAATACAGTACAACATTATATTTTTAATTTGTACGTATTTTTTCACAAATCGCAGCTACTTAACATTACTGACCTAACCCAACTGATATAGCAGATCCCAGTTCAATCAAGCTATTGTGAAAAGAGCATTATCTGTACAAATGTACTATGAAATCACTGGAATATTTATTTAACTAAATAAATAAATACTTAAATATATATATACATACGTACGTTTAAATATATACATACGTGCGTGTGTGTGAAAAATAAATATATAATTGCTAGTGAATTCAGTGTGAATTGTGTGCAACAGAGAGTGGACGAAAACTGGAGTCATCAAGTACTTGCAATAATTCAGTACAAGAGAATTACTATTTCAATTATAATTTGTTTTTATTCAACGACTAAAGCCCTAATTTGATTTGCAGAATTACTAATTCTTTTATAATTAATATCCATTCAATGAATAAAGCCCTAATTTAATCTGCCCTACCTTGTAGCTATCAGAATGACCTTATCTTTACAATTACAAGTTACCTTTTATAATGTTAATTATGATAACCTCTACTAGAAGAGCTGCTAGAATTCTATAATAAAAATTACAATTAATAAAGAATAGTGTTAATTATTCGTAACAGGCAAGCTAGCCTTAGACCATCAGTTGAGTACACTCTTTCTGTTAGCGATGTTTTTGGTCCTTTTGGGTTACCTTACTATTCCCTTAGAGTGGCTGGGGCAACTATCTTATCTGAAGATATGTGGCAAATTTCATTTTAGGAAAGCTTGTCAAGCCCATTTTATCTTTAATAAAATATAATATCTGTATTAGTACAATGAATATTATTAAATATTGTTCCCCCTGATAGGGTATCAAACAAATATTCAGCAGTAGGTACAGGGTAGGCATCACCATCCACAACTTTGTTCACGGTTATCTTATAATCTCCTGCTCCCCAGTGGCACAGTGGTATGTCTGCAGAATTACAATGCTAGAATCCGGGTTTCGATACCCGTGGTGGGCAGAGCACAGATAGACCATTGTGTAGCTTTGTGTTTAATTACAAACAAACAAACAAACTTGTAATCCCCACAAATCTTGCCATCGGCTTTGAGGACAGTCACAATGGGTGCAGCCCATTTTGAGTGTTCGACCCTTTTTATTATACTACTGGGCTCCCAATCTGCCCAATCCTTTACTCACAGATTCCATTAGGGCATAGGGAACTGGCCTAGCTTTACAGAATGTTGGCACACTTCCCCCTTTCAATTTCCACTTCTGCCATAAAGCACTTAATTTTGTTTACCAGCAGGCTTATAAAAACTGGCTGAAATTTGTTGAGAACATCTTGACTCTTTACTGTTAAGATTTAAGATTTCAGTCCAATTTAGTTTTACCTTTTTTAACCAATTTTGGCATAAAAGCGCCACTTTTTTTCCTTTCACCACAACCACAAATAATAAGTCTTGCCGTCATACTTAACCTTTACCTTAGTCTCGTACGCAAGTAGAACTTGGTTGTCAGTGTAACTCTTTAAGTGAACCTGAGTATCATGCAATGGAGTTTCGGAAAATCTTTGTAGTAATCAGCTTCACTTATAATCATTGCAGAAGCTTCTGTGTATACACTGAAATTCATGGTATCGGCACCTTCCAATTCCATTTGCACTTCATATGCAGGGAGTTCTTTCTCTGGCTTAGTGGTGTGGAAAAGTGTTTCCAAATAGTCAACTTTGTCTGGTTCCTGAACTTCCTGAGTGTTGGGTTTGTCTTGTTGTACCATGTGGGTCTTGCTTACTATATTTTTTCTTGGAGCTCTGCTTCTGCCCTGACCTTGTCCACGCCCAGTAAACATATTTCATGAACCTGAGCACGACTTGGATTACAAACTCTTTTCAAATGTCTAATATTATGGCATCCAAATCATTTTTGTGCAGACATATTGGGTTTGTGGCCCATACCATTACGTTTGTAGCATTTAATCTCTTACACAGAGATCTGTGCTGTGTCCACCACGGGTACTGAAACCTGGTTTTTAGCGTTGTAAGTCCACAGAGATACTGCTGTCTCAATGGGGTGCGACCAAGTGTAAAGAGTTTAAATGTAATGGTTCTCACTTAACAGAAAACATCGGATTTGCTCATAGCGTCTAGTGCTTTCCACGTAGTTGGTCATTTTCATTCAACGTAGAGGAGGCCATAACTATTTACTATAATCTGGTCTAGGTTAAAGGACATCGCTGTAGAAATTTGTGCATAATGTTGCGTCATCGAGGTCACGTGACTGGTGTAGCGCCCTCTATTTTCTAGAACTATCTTGTTTTTTCATGAATGCTCTAGTATTTACTAGATAGGGTAGGCGGGTATATATAAGAGGGGACAACGTGACGCGAGAATAAGGTAATGTGTGTATAGATAGTGAGTAATTGATCTGCAGTCAGAAGTATTATTGAGCACGTTCGTTGTTATAGCGTTTGTTTAGCGCGATTGTCGAAGTTGAGTGTATCGGTAAAGTTGTATTCGGAAAGAATAAACCAGTTTTACTAAGTAAAGAACTTGTGTCGCTAAAGTTTTGTCGGAACGAAGTTACGGAAAGTTAATTAACAAACGGAGACGTAACAATAACATGTAGCGTTAAAACAAATCACTTACTGGCAGAACAGGTATTATCTCCAGAGAATAACAACGGAACAAAGAGCGCTAGATCGAAATGAACTTAACACTTTTTTAGACCACGTGTTATACGAAAACTGTATAGGCTTAAAATAAACGAAAAATATCTGAAGTTTTATACTTTAAAGTAAGAAGGTAGAAAACGCACTGTATGCCTGCACACCATATTTTTCAATACTCGGGAGAACATGATTCGATATCACAAGTTGAACTTCTTTAATAGTCACATGTGGATCACGAAAATGTGTTTCTTCGTTTGGTACTTTTTGTAAAACAAATATAATTGATTGTATAATAGGAATTTCAAAATTTAGTAAAAACGTAGCATTCAAAAAATTTAGGAGTATGGGAATATATTGTCGTAATATGATCGAATTAGACCTAAAGTACTGATTCGGGTATATTTTATCTGTAATAACAATAAAGCCTATACGAAGATACACCAAAATACTAATTGTGATTTTTAAACTAATATTTTATTAATTTGTATTTATTGATTTTGCACTCTACACTAATGTAAAGAATTGCTAACTAGGTTCACTTACCAGAACCTACGAATCATGTTTTGTAATGTAACAACTTTAAATATTATTTTTAGTATGACAAACAAAACATACTTATTCATATTAACATTGACTAATCGCATAGAACTGTTATTTATATGCATGTCTTTTTTTTTTATCCTCATCTGCTTTTCTAAAGCTCATTGAGAGAACGCGAAAATGACACGAAATATTAACCAAAACTAGTATATATTTTTATATACATATGTTTTACTACACTTTTTAAATTCCTAATTAAACATTAATCATTCTTGTATTTTACTGAAAACACTGTAGCCGAAAAACTGGTTTTTCTTTCACAATACATATGTGTTAATAAGAAAAAATTCTGGTTAAAATACTCGTTTCGCCGCCTATTGGAAATGTTCTTAACCTTGTATGTACGTGTGTGTGTGTGTGTATGTATGTGTGTGTTTCACATCCGGGAGCTTGCAATGACTTTCAAATGACGTCATGCATTAACACCCGCCATTTTAGACAAATTTCATACTTTGTTAGCCTCCTTGATCTAAATGAAAATATCGTCTCATACACTTGGATCGTCATTTAAGGTAACTATATAAATACATATTTCAATTCAGGTATTTGTTTTTGCAATTTTTACTTGTCCTTTTTGAACAGTATCTGATTGTACCGCCATTAAACACCAGCGGATGAATAATAAGACGAGCTATAGTTACCAAGATTACGCGTAGGCCTACCTGATGAAATGATGTGAGTTGGGCGGAATGATACGCTTCTCAGATAGAGGATTCACTTCAGCATAATATATCATACAACTACACGTTAGATGTATAGGATGTGTTAGATGGATGAGTTATTTTATCGCAAGCGAATATTTTTTAGTAATTACATTAATAAAACTTATCCATTTCTTTTTTCCAAGTGTGCTCAAAGATCAGATCTACTATGGTCTTAGATATGCTAGAATTAAGAGGAATGATGATAAACATTAGTTTTGGTGTAATACTAAGCACAGTTTTACAAAGCTATCTAAATTCTGGGATAATAGTAATATAATACTATGTCGCTAGCATTGTAGTACAATTATAGTAATACTATTAGTACACACATCGGTATCGTAGAGGTGTTTTTAAAATAATTGGATTCTCAAAAACGCACGGTGAAAAGCGTAAGATGAATAACAACTAAACAAGTTGAGCTAGGAACTTTTAAAATGCATTGTGGCTTATACGAAACAACTGTACGTAGCAATTTCAAGGTTTTAAATGTTTAAGGTTGTACTAATATGTATATCAAAAATAACTCAAATTATACATTGACGTTTGGTAGTAGAAGTAGAATTACCAAGAACAACAAAAAAATGTTATTGCTTAAGCCTAACGGTAACGTGAGGTTCCGTGCTATAGATATCGAATGTATGTTTAAGTGTTGATAAAAAATAAATATAAATAGAGATTTTTCAAGTTTTAAAAATTATTGTTGTATTTAAAATATTTTCCATTTTACGATGTAATTAAGTTTGTGAAAAATAAAAATGATAGTTGATTCCATATCAGTTGCTGTTACTAATATTAATACTCAATAATAATGTTATGTTTTCAAGAAAAACAGTACAGCAGGTTGTGAAAAAAATAATTATTTACAAATTATCTCATTGACAATGAACATTTATAAATATATTACTTTCCATATAAAGTGCTTTTATGACTGCTCTTGATGAGAAGTGAAAATTAAGTTTTCAGAGAAATATTACATGCCATGATCCAAAATAGTTTCCTAAATCCACATTGAAAAAACCCAAAAAAGATTGTGTTTTTCTGGGATCAGGCAATGTTATTTGAAAAACCTTTTAAAGTACACAAAAAATGTATTATGATAAGACATACAAAAATCAAGAATTTTTAAATTTAGAAGTGTAATTATGAAAAATCTTGAACAGAATGTCAGGTGTAGTTGAGCTCATATTTAATGACTGAAATTTTATAAGATTTGGTTGCTTTTTATTTTTAATTGCTTTCTTTAATTCATCCTCCTTATCAGGTGGCAAAAATTAACAACTTTTTGTAACGCAGAAAAGACTATATATAGAAATGTATCAAACCAGTGTGAAGATTGTGCTGTACAGAACAACAGCATAAATATGTTTAAGAACTGATGTTACCTTTCAGTGTTAACAATTTAAGATATACATCACCACACATGTTACATGTACATATGGTATGTGGTCCAGTGAAACATTTTTTTAAGAAATTTGAACAACTGTTGCAGCCTGCATGGTCCTGTGGAAATTTATCTAGTTTTATGAAGTACTGTTTTGATATTCTTCAAAGAGACTGATGTTTATGTAGATGTAGGGTGTACATTTGGTATATCTGATTTTTCAGAAGGAAGGTGCTTGTTAAAAAAGATTCTTAATAGGTGTGGTGATAGTTTGACTTCTTGGATAGAAAGGTGGCTGGATGAAGAATGCAGAGGGTGGTTATAAATAGAGTAAATTTAAACTGGATTTATGTCACATAGTGACATAGTTGAAGGGATGGTCAATAAATTACTTAAATTTGCTGATGATATTATGGCCTTGGGTGTTGCTGGCTGTGAGGAAAATGCCACTTTACAAAAGGATTTAGATCATTTGGTATGTTAGGCAAATAAATAGTAAATGGCTTTTAACTATAATAAATGTTAGGTCATGCATGTGAGTTATCACAATTTGAATTATGAATAAATTTTGATGGGAATAACCTTAATAGTGTTATGAAGGGAAGGGATCTTGGTGTAATAGCTGATAAGTCTCTAAAGCCATCCAAGCAGTGTGGTGTTGCTATTGGAGGGCAAATATGATTTTAGTTGTATCTACAGAAATATTGAATACAAGTCTAAAGAGGTTATGTTTTCATTGTACAGGTCACTGTTTAGACCACATTTGGAGTATTGTGTTCAGTCTTTGGGCTCCTTACTTTAGGAAGGACATTGAATTGTTTAAAAGGATTCAGAGGAGGGTTATTAGGATATGATATCTTGTATGGAAAGGTCGTATGAGGTGGTAAAGATCTCTGAAATTAGTTTCTCTTGAAAAAAGTAAGAGCTAGAGGGGGATCTGATTGAGGTTTTTAAGGCTGTTAAAGGAATTGATATCATCAATGCATATTCTTATTTGATATAGTGAAAAGGGTAGGACTTTATAAGAGACACAAATCTAACTTATGGCAGTTTTGCTTCAGGTGACACATTTTTCTAACAGGACAGTTGACCTCTGGAATGGGTTGCTTTCATATGTAGTAGATGCAGTAAATGGAAAGGCTTGAAAAAAATGTGAATGAGAAGGACAGGCTCTTATTTTTTTATTTTTAGTTTAATGGTTGGGATGGCCTCCTTGATTGACCAGCAGGTCACTTGTTCTTAAATGTTATGTCACATGTTTTGTTAATAAAATACTAATAAACAATAAATATTTTTTATTGTGTTATCTAAAGCAACTTCTATTTCCTGATTATAAAAATATTAATATTATTTAGTTGTTCATTTTTGGATGAATAACGTCTGCAATGCGAGTGTTCTCACAGCTGAAAATATACATTGACAGTTTCTAATATTATGATTTATATAATAAGAGTTTAATCACTGAATGAGTTATACATTTTTTTGTTTTAAATTAATTTGCTGAGTATCTCAGTATTATGCCATACACTTTGTTATGCTTAAATTAGGGCCTAATTAAAGCTATAGTGATATTGGAAAATCAATAGTACTAGGTGGTGAAATGATATCAATACCATTTTCACCTCCTAGCACTGCCAATCATCCAACATTGTTTTCACCAGCTAGTATTTTCAATCTTCCAACATTGTTTTCACCAGCTAGTATTTTCAATTTTCTAACATTTTTTTTCACCAGTTAATACTTTCAGTCTTCCAACATTTTTTTCACCAGTTAATACTTTTAGTCTTCCAACATTGTTTTCACCAGTTAATACTTTCAGTCTTCCAACATTGTTTTCACCAGTTAATACTTTCAGTCTTCCAACATTGTTTTCACCAGTTAATACTTTCAGTCTTCCAACATTGTTTTCACCAGTTAATACTTTTAATCTTGAACTGGGTCATTCCATGTCAAATCACCAAACAAAAAACCATTTTGACACCCAACATCTCAGAATTGGCTAGTTCTTCAACTAATGGTACCTAGCTATGGGTTAAGTATACCTGCACATTTTTTCTACAAAATTCTTTCTCCTTCCAGAAACAGAAATATTTTAATTTTAGCCAAATTTGGTCAAAAATTGCTCATGGTGGCCATTTCACAAATACCCTATGCTATTGTAATTATTTTCATAATTTTACCCAATTTTATTGAAATTGGACCAAGATGTTCCCTCCCCCTAATTCAAGTATAAGTAATCTAAATATGGAATCGGCTTTTACTTGTATCCTAAAACAATCCCCCCAATTATCTTTTAATCCCCCCTACTATAGAATTTTATACTTTATGAAAGGGTTAGTGCCCTGTTTTTTGAAATTATTGGAATCCACTGTTTGACAAAACTTATCAACACCAAATTTGGAGCAAATACTCTTCAAACCATGTAGTTTACTATATTAAAAACCTGAGATGGTATTTTTCCTTGTTCCAAAGTAATAGTCCTCTGACAATTGACTAAATTATAAACAATATGTTTACATCATGAACAAAAAGTATTATTGATGTATGTTCAACTTCAAAGGAAGTGCTGCAATCCATTTAAGAAGCACAAGAAAGCTGTGAAGTCTTCCTTGAGGGAAATAAGCTTGGAACTGGCAACTAATGCTGGAGCTACTAACAAATACATCATACCTGGACGAAAGTTATGCCCTTTGTGTCATGTTAGCATCAATGATTGTCTGAAATAGAAAAAAACATTTTTCCTCAGAAGAAAAAGATGATACTAACTACACAACCTGATTTTGAATGTGACTATTCTTTTGATTCAAACAAGGAAAGTTTGGATTCATCATTAATTGAGATGGATGTTAGTTCCATTAAGCTTCACTCAGTGACATCTTATTCAGAAATATTCTACAGGAAGTGAAAACTAAAGCAAGTAGAGAAAAAGTTAGAAGAGCGAAAATCAATGATAAGTAATCAAGTTGCTGATTTCATTCAAGTTCCCTCAGAATCTTTGGAAGTACAGGGAGGAACTTCTGGACAAAATATTGCCATAATGGAACAGAAAAACAAGGATCTAGACTCACTGATTTTCTTGATGAATGAGAAATTGAAAGTTTCAAACTGGGCCAGAAAAATTCAAATATTGACAATGGTGCCACCTTCTTGGTTCAATCTCGTGAAATTTTTAATGTTTCAGGATATATGGCTCGGAAGGCCAGGAAATTAGCTGCGGAGAAAGGAAACTGGGGAAAGCAGTGTCGAAAGAAACTGAAAAAATGATTACAGCATTCTGTTGTGATGATGAGTATAGTCTACAGATGCTGGGCAAAAAGGACTTTGTAAGCCTTTGGAGGAATGTCCATATGCAAAAACGACTTCTCCTATGTGGACTTAGAAAGCTTTACAAGCATTTAAAGAAAAAAATCCCAATTTAAACATAGTA